CTGTTTCCCTCCAGACTCAAACTGAACTACCTGTTTCCCTCCAGACTTGTTTTCCGTGTTGCTCATGGTGAAAGTCTTGCTTCCCTTCTCGTACGTGCAGTAGTGTCGTGTCCAATTGCATCCCAGCGGACCTGGGGAGCCAAAAGAAAGGAGAGGAGAGGGAAAAAAAAGAAAAGAAAAGAGGACGGAAATTGCTTTTGAGCTAAACTGTTTTTGCTCCGAATTACAGGCTTCTGGAGAGACTTTTGAAAATCAATGCGCAATTAAATTGTGATGAATCAAAAGTTGTTTATTGGTGATGATAAAAATCTATCATTTGTGGTAACACACACACACACCCACACACTTTCATGTGAGGGCACATCAAAGCGAATGAGTAAACAGGATGAATTGTGTGTGAGCGGATGGTTTCTGGGAGAAGTGGGGACATGTTAATGGTGACGGATGTGAGAACTCTGCTCTTTTCCCTGACAGGACCACTCACGTTTCTCCTGGACGTACAGGAAGCCCTCCATAGTCCACTGGCCCGGGGGTTTATAGTCCTGATCCGCTGACCTTATCCTCTTCATCAGCTTCTCCACTTCCTGTTTGGTGCTCACAAAGTTGTTTCGGGTCTACGTGGGACGAGCAGGAATGTGTTAACTTGTTGTTAACGGCATGCAGACTTCCCTGTTTTCACTTTTAACCCTGTAATGCCAAATGTATCATATTTGATACATGCTGTTTATGTTTATGTTTTGCATCTGACACCTTTGTATAATTTAATGGTAAAAACTTTGCTCAAAATCCAAATGTTTTTAATTGTTTTTTTAATTTAATTTGATTTATTTATATATTTATTTATATATTTATTTATATATATTTTTTTATTTTTTATTATTTATTATTATTTTTCTATTGTACACAATCAGATACAGCTGATAACAGGGGGCAGAAGACTACACAAAAATAATCTTGACTTATCGCATAGTAATAAATTATTAATATAAAAAATGTATTTCTGTTTTTCTTTTTGCATATTTTGTTAAAAAGCCAAATAAGGAATTCAAACAAAAAAAAAGGAATTTTCTGTTTTGTTTTATTCTTGGATCGGGCTTTAAAGGGTTAAAAGCACATTGCTCACTAATGTTCTGCTACCATGTTTTTGCTTTTGCTAATTGTTTGTTCTTTTGTCTTCCCTGTGTCCTTTTGCAGGAGTTCCTACAGGTTCTACACCCGGATTCCCTAAAAAGGAACAGAGTCCATTTTACAGATATAGCAGCTGGTTGTATGTCTTGTTTTCTTCCCTTTTCTCTTTCTATCTAAAGGATCTCTCTCCTTTCCACGACTCTTCCCTCTTCCCTTTCTCTCTGTCAGGTTCAGCATTATCAGACACATGTAAGTTTGATAACAAAATGAATAAATAAGGCAGTTTTGGGTAATCGAGGGGGCTTCTCACTAACAAAGCAAAACTCAGATTTCAGTTCTGCTGCCATAATGCTGAACAGGACAATGTAAAAAAAGTTTTAAAAAAAAGAAAAGCACATCGCTTCAGCGCTTGAAAAAAAAAGAATGAACTCGAGGTCGTCTAAAATTAGAACCAAATTTAGATGCAAATCTGCCTTTTCTTGTGGAATGTGAGAGGCCGGCCTGGGCCTGTTTCATGTGTCGCGGTCGAGTGCCAGTAGAGTCTCACTTTGTGCTGTTATTTGTGCCAAAAAACACCCCCCACCACCCCCCCACCACCCCCCCACCCCCACTTCCCATCCGAGGGGTTACGGAGTTAAAATGGTGAGAGCTGCAGATCTGAAATTTGGGGTCAGAGAGACATTTGGACCCCAGACTAAAAGCACTGAGGTCGTAGAGCAGTTTCACTCCAAACTCCAAAGTGTTTTTTGACATGGTGCCATTAAATGGCCCGAGAAAATATCGATCCGCCCTGCAATCGAGAGGCTATCCATTTGTGAAAACTCGGCCTGTTACATTAACTCATTGGCTGCCAAAGACGTCTATAGAGGTCTTTTATGTTTTTAACGAGAGTGTCTGGGGGACGATCTGCTAAAGCTTGTCCGTAAATATCGGCTTCTAGACAGAGTATGTAGTAACAAATTGACCCTCTAGGGGGCAGTGCCACTTTTGATGGGAGATGAGCATAAACTGTAGGCAAATAAGAAAAAGGTAACGGTTCGCTATGAGAGAACATGTCGCCGGTGAGACGCAAGTCCAGGAAGAACGGAATAAGGTAGAAACACTTTTTTTTTCCTGATCAAAGAAGAGAGTCTACTCTTTCTTTTGGTGTGTTCGGTGTTTACATAGTCATAGCACAAACGATTCTGTGGCTCTTCAAAAATCAGTCAAAATGCTCAAAAAACTCTGGCAGTCAATGAGTTAAATGGCCCGAGAAAATATCGATCCGCCCTGCATTCGCACGGCTATCTATTTGTGAAAACTCGGCCTGTTACATTAAGGAACGATAAGAAGCCGTGGAGTCTGAAACGACCCTGTGAGGTTTGCAGACTTACGTTCTGCAGGTTGAACTGGAGCTGCTGTTTGTACGGCTCAAACTCGTGAGCCAGCTCATATCCTTCGTGGTAGAACGTAAACAAGCCCTGCAGAAAGGCCAGGAGCTGGAGAGGAACAGCATTCAAAGGTGATTTACTGAGCAATTACACATTATTGGCTTTGATTAGACATTCACAGGGTGCATGCTTTTGGACAGTTATTATAGAGCTGACAGGGTTTGTTTAAAACGACTTTCTCAGGATTCATAGTTTCATTTCAACTTATGGTAATGCTCTTCATTCCTGTGCAGTTTATGGAATATTCAACATTTTTTTAGTGAATTACAGTGGGGGAAATAAGTATTTGACCCCTTGCTGATTTTGCAGGTTTGCCCACTTACAAAGAATGCTTATTTTTCCTCATCAGATAGTTATCAATTTTTATAAATTCATATGATGTGATTTTCTGGAATTTTCTTTGGGATTCTGTCTTTCACTGTTAGAATGTACATATGATTAAAGTTATAGATCGTTGCATTCTTTGTAAGTGGGCAAACCTGCAAAATCAGCAAGGGGTCAAA